CGATAGTTTGGTAGGATATAGTGATTGCCCACTACGGGTGATGTTTTGCATGTTCGAGTCAATCCCACCCGCTGCCGTACCTGCACTAACGTTCCGGGCTCTTTAACCGTTGAAACATGGGTCGATGTTCGCAACATTGATGCCCATGACAGCCCCTGATGAGCACTCGCTTGACTCCAAACCATGGTAGATGCTGGATCGCCGGTGCTGGGATCATGGGCATTGTGCCTGGGATCCTGATGCGCTTGCCCCGGACCCCGTGCGGTTCAGGAACAGGCGATGTCGCATCTTGTCAAATGCTGAACGGCGACTATTACTGGGATCATGACTTTTCCGTGTTGCGCATCCCGCGGCTTCGCGAACCAGGTCCCTGTAGGGGTTCCCTCGTTACGCCCTGGAGTTCGAGGAATTAAAGTTTCAACGGTCATCCGCGCCGAGTCAGGCAAGGGCCAGCATCACCAACACTGACGTCTTGACACTTCGGCCGGCATAATCGGCGACCTGAATCCTACGCACGCGCCCACAAAGCGCGCGTTATTCGATAGGATCAGGATGGGTTTTGTTCGAGATGCAGGACAACTGTGCCGCAGAGGCAGAGAGAAGGCTGACTCGATCGCTGGTTATGTTCCGCGTAGTTGCTGCCCAACCGAATTTTGAAACACGTTAGCGGCAGGCTGTTCAGGAACGTGTTGCCAGGAACCGCAACCCTTGCGGAAGCGATAAGAGATAGACGGCTACGGGCTGAAGGCGCATGCGGGGTAACTTCTCTCGACGCTTTAGACTTCTCAGCCCACCCTCGCTTCTGCGATGTTCACTCACTGAAACCCCACGGTCGATACATCGCCTAAGTGAGGCTGAGTTATATTTGACCTTGGAACAAGGGTTCACGGCGTAGCCGAAGAGGAGCACGGCGGTAAATGTGATCCGCAGGCAGAAACTCCAAGGCGCTCTGAACCAGAACCTTTGTTATCTCGCTAGGCGGGGCTTGATTGCTGATTGTATGAAGGTGCGGGGCTTAGACGAGCTCATCTTGATACGTGAAGGTGTGGTGAAGCTCGGAACGCTACGTTAGATAACCAGGGAAGATGCAACGTCGTCTACAGTCCTTGACTCTCTTCAGGATCATGCGATGGTACTGCATCGTGAGCTCGCATCGTAACTGCGACGGAGCTGGGCACATAGTCATCTCGTATTCGATTAGTTGAATTTATGTACCATGGCGCGCCCTGACAACGCATGTCGCTTGTCGTCCAATATCTACCTTTAAGGCTCCCGGTTGTATGCATTTTATCCCCGCGCAGATGTACAGATGACACGGACCGTCGCGCTCACCGAGCGACATGCAGCTTGTTCAAGGCCCTCATTCGCAGTAAGTCTGCGTGAGTGGTGTCTTCCCTGCCGCATACCAACACTACCAAGATTGAGTACTGCAGCAATCATGGTAAAGCAGCTCGAACTAAGCGATGGCTTGGTGGAAGACGTGCACGGTGGGGCACCTCGTGGTTCATTCTTTGTAGTTTCCGTCCGGCAATATCCCGAATAGTCAGGTGCTCGCCACGGCATGCAGCCAGCCCGGAGTCTGGATGCCATGTGCCTCAACAATTTTCTTAGGGAATTTTTTGATTGGTCGATACCCCTCTTTTACGGTCAGCGGTGTACCTTTCCCACCACACTTTGCTACGAGCGCACTATGAGTTGGTATACGTGGAAGTGCACGTAGCTGCAGTTTCGCCGCTTTAGTGAGTCGCCTTATGCTGGTTTGATGGAAGTATGTATGCGATACAAGGATTGGAGTTCACCCTCGTCGAACGGGGTATGAACGGCGAAGGTGACTGCGCGACGGGCCGTGCCCAGCAGCGTTCGAGTATCTGGCGGTAAAAATGCGTAATGTATGGGGTTCTAACTTTCGGAAGCATGAGAACAGCATCAGCTAATGCGCTCCTCCAACAGATCCTTGACGCCTTGTTCTCCCAACTCCGGAAACAGGCGCAGAACAATCAGGTCAACGATCTGGAAGACGAGGTGCTTGTTGAGATAAGCGTCATCGAGACAGTCTAGTGTGTTTGCGATCTGTCGAACCTGCTCATCGCGCTCGTAGCTCGCAAAGAAAGCGGCTGCTACTTTCGGTGGTACTAAGTCAAGTAGTCTGGCGGCACAGCAGCGCTTGATCTCCTTGATTTCCTCATACGTTGGAATCTGACGTGGGGGCCCGAGCGCGTTGTTAGGGAAGAGTGTTGCACGAAGAGTCCGAAGCGCCACGGGAAGGAAAGCGGGGTTCAAGATCTGCGTGTGGAAAGTATGAGCGAGGAATCTGCAATCGCGACTGGTTAGCAGATGAGACTTGGATATGGCTAGATTGACTGGTGCGAGATAGGCAGGACGGGTGCGGTAGGAGTTGGACGGATGAAGGAGTCCGCGGGGCGTTCAGCTGGTGACCGCGAATGATGATGTCTGCGGTAGCAGGCCCGGAGCATCGGACGAGAATCGAGTCGAATTGTTGACGCGGCCCATAAAGTGAGGCGCACGCCCATAGCAAGCGAGATTGATGGTCATGCCACTATGCAACTCAAAGCAGGATGTCGTCGTGATGGATCGAAAAAGCCATTCCCAATCTTTCGGGAACAGCATCATTCGCCGACTGTTTCAATGCGCTGCTCAAACAAACTAAGACCATATTGGAGTCCGAGGAGTACGTGCAGGATCCTCAACAGGATGACGGTAGCGATGAAGACCGAAGAATGAGGCGTAATCAGCTGTTGGCGGGATCCATGGTAGGGCCAGAGTTTGTGGCCAATGTCGTGCTCGAACTCTGTACGGCCAGTCCCGAGAGGGACGACGGCCGGACGGTGTGAGCAGATCAACCGGCGCGTAAGCGGCCCTTCCACAAGAGCTAGCATCGTGATGACGGCTCAGGGAACAAAAGCCCTTCGCACGACCCGCAGTATTCTGTGGTCGCTGATGAGAGGCGCAGCACCAGGATTGGTCCGACCTTGATGCAGGCATCGTGTGGTCGCTCATGGTGTTGACAATGGCGACGGCCGAGAGTGTGCCAAGCCTCCTTGTCCGAAACGTGTCGAGTTGCCGCCCGGAACGGGTGCCGAGGCTTGCATAAATCGGTGCGCCACGACAGGGTTGTTTTGGTGTGTGAGCCTGCGGGCCGTCGCATTCGCTGAAGCGAAGTCAAGTGACTTGAATCGTATGCGGAGCTATCTCATCCTGCGTCGCACGGTGCCACAGGGATTGACCAGCTAGCCAACCAGGGGATGCGAGTGAAGAAAGAGATATTATCGTAACTTACCTGTCCAATACACCATTGGTTTCACCCACCCTACCTGGGCCGAGCAGTGCTCCACGATGAAGCATGGAGATGAAGCCCAACAGCCAAGGCATGCGGACATCTAACTCGGCAAGTTGCGCTACACAGCTCCACAGGCTCATGCTTACTACAGGCCGTTTGGCCTCCAACGGGCGCCTGGAAGCCATCTTTTCCGCTTCCAGTGCTTGCGATTGATTGGCTGCTTCTGCAGATGACTGCTCGGTTGTGGCAGATCTCAACGGAAGGGAAGATAATGTCGTAAGACTCAAGACCACCGCGCGCACCGCAGTAAACGCCAAAAAAGCGTATTGGATGATCGCCCATAGTACACCCGAGACGTATAAGGCCGATGTCTTGTGACGACGCTGGCCGGCGTCCAGTGGCCCTTTTGGACTAATTTCTGACCCTTGATGCGTGGACAGCAGCCCGTAACGCTCAAGACGGGTTAACGACTGCTCCGCATCGGCATCGTCCGATTGGGAATCCTTCTCTTTCGCAGCATCGGTCTGTAAAACCTCAGCTATCCTTGTGATGCCCTCCCATAACACCCATCCTTCACAGGCTTTTCCGCTAATGCCGTTTCCAAGGATCATCTCTGCGAATATTTCGCCTACCAGGGCGCGTAGACACCCATTTTTTAAGTCTTCTGTCGGTAGCAACAGGGCTAGCACGCCATGTATGAGTAGTTGGCGCCACGCCGACTCGCTTTCCCGCTGTTCAAGGACTGTCGCCGGAACATCATCGGTAGGCACAGGTGATAGTGCAGGGTGCGGGTGGAGCGTATGATATATCAGACGAGGATCTGATACTAGTGAAATTGACGAGGCGGCTTGAGTCTTCGCTATTCGGAATGCTGACAGGGAAGAATTAGACAAACTTCATGCGACAGTCCAAGTTGAAATAACCTACAGGTCAGGTGGGCTTGGAGTAGCTCAGGTATCTCATCTAGCAATAGTGATTCGAGATCGACTTTTCTGAGGCGCTGCTCCAGACCTCGCGTACAATGAGCGATAATCTGGATCACTTCGTTGACAAATACTTGATCGGGAGTTATCTTCGAGTACCACATCTGTACAAACTCCTTGATGATAACAGAGATGATGCCATATAGTTGAAGATCGACCTCGTTTGAGCTCGTCAAGGGTGGCAATACGTCTTCAATAGGACGAGGTGTACTGCGTCCTTTCTCGCCATTGCCAAGTAGCACATTGTGGGAGCAGAGAGTGCGCCGAATGAATGCTGCCGTGGATTTATCCGAGGTAGAATCTAATTGAGGCTTCTGTGTGTCTGCTGAGCGTGTTGTAGCCGCCACACGGGAGTGGTTTTGCACGTTGGTCCCCGTGGCTCCCGGGGTCGACGATGCTGAGGCCTGGTAGCTTGGTGGCTGCGCAAGAGGGACGTCTGGATCCCGGTTCGTACTCTCTGTCATTGCAACGTGATGTTCATCGTTGCCAACACCGAATGTAGTTTTCGACACGTGATAGCGCGCTGCGACACGATTCGAGATGAATGTGGTCGTGGGGTTGGTACTGGCGAAGGAGCGATGACGACAGAAAGTCAACCACGGCCGGGATTAGCCGAGCCTTGGCGCGTTCCTCTTTGTGACGCGCGCCGCGTCGGCCATCGCACAGCACCAGCCTTCCTAATACCAAACCTCACAGCACCACTTACTCTCGCCAACATCATGGCAGCGTTAAGTCCCGATGGTATGTAGTGCGGTACTTCTTCGGCTCGTTCTAACGTGTGCGATAGCGGCGATAATCGACGTGGAAGGTCAGCTGAAAGACATCGTGCAAAACCTCTATAACCTCATCGTGCAAGCGTACGACCACCATGGAAGCAAGACGCAGGAGGCCATAAGGCGGGAGATGTATGCGATAGCTACACCCTGCGTGTAAGCTTTTGAGGCTAACCGTACCGTAGCCAGTCGCTCGTTCAGAACCTGGTTAAATTGTCGAGGACAGCGCCGTCCGTGAACATCAACATTCCTCCAGAGGTCATGTCCTACGTTGAGAACTCCAGGAACCCGGATATCTTCACGCGCGAATTTGTTGAGACCGTGCAGCGAATGAACCAGATGCTGTACGGTCGCGTCGACGCATACCGAGCGCTTCAAGAACAACTCGCCCTGCACGTCTCGAGCGCTATTCCAGAACTCAGAGAAGACGTGACCTCTGTTGTCGAGTCTACAGGCGGCAAGATGCGCGTCTAGGCTCATTACCTTCACCAGACCCAGGTGAATACCTTAAGCGGATTCAAAGTAGCTTCGCAATCACAATATGGATGCTGGAACAGCACGGACACATGCGACGACCAAACTCAGATCACCGAATATACCAACGAGTACCACATAGCCAATGCATTACGGGCGGTGATAGTTACGACATGGTTGGTATACGGATCAACACTCCGACAGGTGGGGAAGTGCATCAATGAATGCGACCTCGTCCAGATGCTTGGTCAGTCGACTCCGACAATACTCGGAGTAGCATTGGATGCTTCAGACATGGAGAAGATCCCCACAAAACACGAATGAAGACGTCGTTGTAGATGCTGTGCTCTTTTGGGAAAAGATATTGGCAGGGATTGCATTATCCAACACGTTACAACGAGCTTACTTCTCAGAAGGAACAACAACACTCTCAATCTACTAGATTCGATTGCAGCTATCTCCATGCGTCCGTCACATCCGGCTGAGCCACATTGCATCCCTTGCTTCTGCTACCGATTCAGCATGGCGCGATGCTTCCTCTAGACGGCTGTTACACACGGCATTTCATTGATGTGCCGGGTTTAAACTATGTTTCATTACATCACATTCGTCTCTAGTATTCTGCGTCATGTCTCTTCACATCATATTGTGCGATGAAGGATCTCGTACGATGTAAACCTTCGGCATCCTTGCATAACAGCACACAATCTCGCAGTGCCCAAAACGATGCTAGTTCTCGCTGATCCCGGGCACTCTTTATGAAGATCTCGGCGCTATTGAATGTCGGGCACTTCATCGCTCACATTCAGCGTTCCTTCAGATCCACTTCGGTTCTTTGTCATACTTACAAACCGTGTCTTCATATGAGACCTATGTTAATATGTGAAGCAAGTCTCTATCATATAACAACGTATGGATGCTAAATTTAGTATAATTGCAGCGGTGCGACAATGGGTGTTGGAACTCTCGGTCCGATGGAGATGTCATGCGTTGTGTTGACAGTCTACACGACTCGCTCGGCCGAGTTTCGCGTATAGCCTGACCATAGCAGTTTTTTCCAGGAAGCTATAGCGATACAATAACATGTGAAGGCAGCCGCTCACATCATCCGCTCCGCTCACGTACCGACCTTGGTTGGATGCAGTTCGAGTGAAATCGAGGATTTGTTACTAACAGCAACATTAATAGGCCACGATTATCTAGTTACAACGTAACACTGTTTGGGGTATGCTGACCTAAAGCTTTGCCAAAGTTATCAATTCGTGCGATGCGCACGCAACTTCACAGTTTCTGTCATTATCTCATTGACGCAGGCGCATCCTGATGAGATGTATATGCCTCAAACCCCTCTTGGTAACACTTGTATGTAATTTCACATTCTTCACCTTTCCCTGATTGACTTATTGCACCCCAGTTTGAACACGATGTGAAGCAATGCACCATTATCATTGAGCTGGGAAGAGGCTGCCGTTGAATCTAGAGGAAGAGTTCCTGCAAACGCTTGTACGAGTTCTCCAGCCCGTATGACACTACATCGGCTTCGTATGCTTGTCTCTGTACCTTACAAGATCTCACAGATGTCTTCAGCAAACCTTATGACTCTTACTACTTCCGTACATATCCGTGCGGTATGGTCATTCACTGTCTGATTTTGGATTACAACACGCAACCTCTACCATTCACTACTTAGCAAACGAATCGCCTGTGACATTATACGCATACAAACACTGTGACTCTCTTATACACGGTTGCCCCTGCTCTCTGGATTGATCGAGTCCTTTATCGCCCCTGTGCTTTACACTACGCACTCACTAGCAGTCCAAGATTCTTCAACCCGCTTAGCCCGCAAACGCTCCAGACACTAGCGAACGGACAAACAAACTAATCACGCCATAGTTTAGTCAACCGGATTCCAGAAAGAGTTGAAGGCCAACATGACGTCGTTTTTCTCCAGGCCAGTTGCTCCTACATGGACTTCCAGATGCCAGAATGCAGCGCCGCTCTTGTCATCACCAGCGCCAGCAACCGCGTCAAGTGTTGCGCATGAGCTTTGCGACTCTCCAAATGCATTCGAGCGTCCAGAAATCCAGCGGCTCATATCATGGGAGATCGTCCCCTGTCTACATCGCCTACCGCCCTCTCCTGTTCCCAGCCGTTCACCGAGCCCTGATCCGTCTCTTCCAGAACGTCAGCCCTCAAAGCCCAATATCCACGCAGAGTCTCCAGAGGCGAAGCCAGAGCTCTCATCATCTGACTCCTGTCCCCAAATGAGCACTTCCTGGATATCCTTCGAAGAGATAACACACACTGAAGCCACCTACCCTCCTGAATACACAATACCCTTTGAGTTTGATACAGAAGCCTTCCCAGCTCATGCACATCTCTTTCCCTCCTCACCAAACGGCACATGGCGTAATGAGTCCGTCCACGCTTTGACGCATCCTACGGCTGTTGATTACGCAGCGCTATATGCGAAACTATGTACACTGGCCGAGGAAGCAACGGATGAGTTCGTTGCAAGAGTAAACCAAGCATTCGAAGGTAGGGACGTACCGGCAATGCACGATAAGGTCATGCAGATCTTTCCTTCGGTCTCAATGCCGGATATGAGAGATATCGAAAAGGCTATAGATACTGGGTGTGACTGGGGAGAGGAACTGTTTGAGCAGAGAGGACGGAGGAGGACTAGAAGGTGGCGGTAAGTGAAGCGTAGGCAGAAGTTCGATGGAGAAAGAAATAAGTGGTCCATGACCACATTGTTCAAAACATCAGATCTTGGCAGCTGGAGGAATAGTGTAGCCAAATATTATATTATATTAAGTTATCTTCAATGCCTGAACGGCCTTTTGAGAGAAACGAACATTAGTCTAATGACTCAGCGTCGCGGCCGCCATGAAACCCCTCGCTAAATCAACAGTTTTGTCTATTTCGTAGCCGTACCAAAGTCTGCCTAGTCCTCTCGATGAAGACTACCCGCCCGTTGACGCATGGCAGAGTGTGGGTGCGCAGCCTCTTCCTCGTCTCGGGGACCACCAGCACCACCCTCCATAAAACCGCCGGCCTGCATGCCACTCGGTGTTCCACCAAAGCTGACCAATACAGACGGGTTGTCTGCCGTCAGAGCGTCCAATACGTCCAACTCGTGTGCTGTGAACCATTTCGGCATCAAGAATGTGCGTAGCGGGATGAGGGCAATAATGAGGACCGGAAAGCCGATAGCGGCAATGGTTTGCGAGATGGCGACTGTGCATGCGACACCAAGAATCTGAAGACCGATGAAAAGCCGAATCTTGTTGCGTGAGACGCGGTTGAGCGGGTTGTCGCGCTGGATGAAGCGCTTTTCCGACATGAGGTAGAGCGCCTTGCTGACAATGCCGTTCGATTCTATGGAGCCCCACTATGAAGAGATTAGCATATGGTATCGAACTTCAAGATGGGTCAACACTTACACCGACGACGAAGAATACGCCAGCAAAGACTGCTGCGGGCATGGTGTGTAGTACGATAAGTAAGGGACCGGTCATGGTACCCCAGATGGCCATACCCATCAAAAAATGACTGATTCGCTGCTCGACAACAGCAGTAGCCTTGACGAATGGCTTGCGGATCTCACCACCATCTTCCGTTTTGGTGATCTCCAGCCTAGTTTCGTAAACGGTCAGAGAGTCTGTATGTACCGGTGCTTGCGGAACCAGGCCGTTGGGAAGTGGGAGGCCGATGACGCCACCAACAAAGCATGTGCAGCCGAGAAGGAAAAAGTCCCAGTGAAAACCAGCGGGCTTTTTGAGGGGGTATTGGCGGGCCTGTGCGGTGAGGGATGACACATTCTGTTGCCAATGGTTAGCGTTCGCGTTCGCCAGTGCTAGAAGACGTGTATGACTTACGTGGTCGTAGTAGAACAACAGCATCATCAAGAACCCAAATGGCAAAGCCACGAATACCCACTTGACGTCAAGATTCCAGAATTCAATCACCCAGTTCCTGTCCTGCGTCGGTGCAAAAGCCTTGCCGATAGGAACTCGGTATAACCCAGTCTCCTCCAGACGTCCAGGAATATGCGAGAAACCGACCCAAAACAGGGTAGGGAAGACGAAGGAGTAATCGGCGATGATGCTACGAATACCTGGGGTAAACACCGTACTGTTACCAAGCTTCTCGAGGCCGTAAACAGAGCCGAAATAACATATCGCAATGACGATGGAGAGGTAGCCACCGTCAAAACCGGATTCTTGGAACAGATACACTAGCTCTTCAACACCCTTGACTGGATGCAGGTCAATATAGTGTCTTGATATGGCCAGTGACTAGATACATACCACAGTAGATAATTCCAACATACATACCGAACGTCTCACTCGAGAAGTCAGTGACATAGGCCATGTAGTCGCTGAAGTTTCCGAATGCTACGATCCAGTGAAAGATGGCAGCCCAAATTCCAACCCACGCGGTAAATGCTGGATAAATGGAAGGGTCATATTGGGTAACAATGTCGTAGATGGTGTAGTTGAAGAGCGCGATCAGACCAGTGACTCCTACGATGGTGAGGGGTTGGCACGCGAGCAGACTAAACACCATGGCTGCTAATGCGGACGAAAACAGGGCTTCGTTGATGCCAAAGAACCCGCCCGTTCGACGGTACATGTCGAGTGTGAACGCAATGGCAGGTAATACGCTATATTGGTCAGTCTGAGACTTGAGCGTCTATCGAGATAGACTTACTTTACGAAGTACATGCGAACTGTACTGGCGAAAGCCCTATACGTGAGCGCATCGGTTATGTCGCTCCAGTAATAAGGTAGTCTCCTCTTGACATCGTGATACATGCCGCGACCAGGTTGGAGAATGCGCCATCTCCGCCATCCTCTCGCGCCTTGGAAGGTGTACGATTCGTGTGTTGCGGTCCTCTCTAGTATTTCCTTGCTGTTCGAATTTGTCGCGTCTGGCGAATCCATGATGACGGATATGCAAGTTGAATGGACTACAAACGGACAATGGATGCGAAGCCGCAGAAACTAAAGCTGAAGGAAACCGATCGACGCGATAGATGTGTGCATAGTTTGATCCGGACCCTGAGCACCTAGTCTATATACGCGGGATCAAGTCCAATTACAGAAGCCGGCGCACTACGGCCCCAATGTCATAGCTAAGCTTGGCATCTGTGGAGATCGAGGTTTTGCCATCGATGGGCGAACTGCTTGTGCGCGGAAGGAGACATGACGATGAGGCTCAGCATGAAGACATTAGACAAATGCGGATACTTGGCTCGAAAGACAGTCTCTGCGCTTCCGACAGGATTTCGTTGTGGTTGTTCGCGATAAGCATGTTCATTGTTGAGACCATGTTTGGTTGTTTGGTGACGTCTGCCGGAGTAGAGGCCTCGCGCACGTGGTTAGCGTGGCCGTTAGTTCCCGTGCCATGCTGAGGAAGGTCGCCATTAGCCCTGTGTTCCATGGGAGCTAAACCACTCGAGAACCCAACAGACACCATCAGCCCTGTCGCCTGCGGCTTTTTTCTGTCTGCTCGAGCAGCAACTTCCATGGTCTGGGTCAACGTGCACGTTACAACCCAAACTCCGCAACCACGACCATCGTCTGCATGGAACCGTGCAGCTGTGACATTACTTCCAATTGGTCTAGACGTCTGTACCACACCAAAATGACGTACACGGCTCGCCGAGCGTATGACTGACGCCAAGCGCCATACCGCACGCGGTCAAGAGCGTTTCCATTCCACCCCGGTATCTTTAACAGCTGCTTGAGCAGAATTTCCATCGGCATCGTCACGTTTCCGCGCGCTCCTATTGCGGCATATAGAAAGAGGTGAACAGTGTCGCGACATTGCGACATTCGATCCGGTTAGACTTCGGACAGTTTGTTCAGCCCGTGAACACCCACCAACCTTCCATTACCGCACGTCTGTAGCGAGTGTTGTTTCGCATACTGAGGTATTTCTATGGTACGGAGATACCTCCACTGTAAAACTTCTAGTGGGCATTGTGGTAGGTTTTAAATATATCACCCACCTACCCGCGCAATGCTCAAGCTTCTTAGCGTCCGGTGTCAACTCCACAGGCTTAATTAATCGTCCGGAGTCTTATCGATATACCTCCTTAAAATGAACGCTCTCCAGGACGTCGATGGACTTTCAGAATGCATCGGCAAGGCGATCCAGGAACATCTTGCTAGATTCAATATCAACATTGCATGGCCGCAGCTCGACAACCTGGATCATCCCATCCTTCGTGTCGAGGCTTTTCTTGAGGAAGCCGATGCCACCCATGCAGCGAGAGCGCAGTCCGAAAAGATCGCATCGGTGAGTTACGTTCCCACCACACTCCCACTGCCAGTGTGCAGTAGCGTGTGCTCACGCGTCCACAGAGAACCGTCGATCTGGCGGGCATGAGGACACCCGCCCCCACAGCAAGCCCAGCCGCAATCGATCTTCAAAACTTTGATGAGACCTCGTCAATGGACGAGTCTCATTCGCGGGACGAGTCGTCCTCGTCGGTACAACAACCCCGCGAGCCCCGCAGGAAAGGCACTGGCGGTCTGAGGGTGTCGCACACTCAGTCATCGTTTCAAGAAGATCTGAGCGAACACCAACGGCAAATGCAGGTTGATAGCCGCAGCTTCCCAAAGCGGAAGAAGGTACGTGAACTCTCCTAGGCGACGTCGCTCTCTCAGGCATGCCAACCTAGGGAAAAACTGAACAGCCTGGAGCCTACGTTGACGTCGGGTTACCTACTTTGCAAGTTTTCGTCTCAATGTAGGCTCCAGGGTGTTGAGTTTTTTCCTAGGTTGGCGTGCAGGTACTCGCTGGACCCTCAGTGGGGGAACGAGTGGGCTGCTTTTTCGTGCACAGAAATACGTGATGCGCATATGCTCGCCCATCTTTCTTGAACTAGCTGACCATTCCCAGGTAGCATCGGAGAAGTTTGTCTTCCAACCGTCCACTCTGGACAAGCTCATCATCGGCATCTGGGAGCAAGTACACAGCACGCTCAACCTCGACCCGAAAGCGATCTTTGAACAGTTCCAAGTAACGCCCAATGGATCCTCCATGAGCATGGGCATGGTCGGCCATGCGCATACCGACGAAACACCTTCCGCCATGGCAGTACTCAACAACGCTCCGAATCCGATATCCGAATCCTTCAGTCAGATGAATGTCTTTTGTCGCAAAGTTACACAAGCGAGTCGCGTGTGCCGGTCCATCGAAATGATCGTACAAGCCCGCTGGGTCGAACTGTTTGAGGAGCAGGTGCTATACCGGAGCCAATTGAGACCAGAGCTGTCCACAACAAAGCATAGGAAAGCTGTGTTCATGGAAGCGTGTCAGGACTTCGATTGGTCGGAGTAAGTACAGACACCTGGGATTGCGCAAGCATCTTGGATCGCATTCGCTGACTGCTGTGCCACCTTAGAAAGGAACTACGCAACAAAATGGCCATTTGGCGTGGCTACAAAGAAGTGAAGGATTCAGCAGGCTGGGCTGCACTTGTCTTCGCTGGCATGGGCATATACCGGTTCTGCAAGTACCGAGTTGGGTTCGATAAAGACGCCATGCGCCGGCTACGGAATCTGCGAAAACGTCTCGAAGTCGCGGCCGATACCCTACATCCCCATTGGCGCCAGCTTTTGTCCATAGTAGGCGAATCGCAAACCCTTCAATACCCTGGCCATCCGCACGACTGGGTAGTCTTCGAAGACGGATCAGATCCTGTGCCACTGCGCCAAACATATCTGCTCCAAGACCCTTACTTTGCCTTCGAACACATCGACGAGTCGATCATCGATGAATCAGTTTGGGGATGCGAAGACCCACGCTGGACACCACAGTCGAGCGCAGTGACAAGACCAGGCGGAGCCTACATCTGCGCCTTGTGTAACGAGCCGCAGTCCGACAAACCGCAAGACAACTCCTGTTTCTGTTTTCCGACCCTGTTCGGCTGTGTAAAGCGAAAGCCACCGCCTGTTCAGATCCTGCGGACTTCCGATGGCAGAAACAACGGTCTAGCTGCATTGACCTCCTTCGACCGTGGTACAGCAATCGGCGAGCTGGTTGGCCTGATCACAAACGGTGTTAGACATCTCGATGTGCTGGATAGCTCAACACCCCTGGCCAGCTATCAAATCTGGCAAGGAAGGGCAGGAAACTTCACTCGCTTCATCAACCACAGCTGTAAGCCGAATGCGCAATGCTCTACATTCACTTGGATAGATACCCAGAGGGTGGTTCTGGTCAGCAAGGGGATAGATGCGGGAAAAGAGGTTACATTGGACTACGGAGACAAGTATTGGGCTGGGCTAGACAAGAGCTGTCTGTGTGGGGAGAGTTGTTGCAGGTATCGGAGAGATGGAAGGATGAGATAACATTGTTGGAAGCGACTTGCTATGTTTAACGCACACTTGATAGAACACAGCAATCTTTTTAAACAGCTAATGTGTTCGAGCTGCGGCAAACGCCATCTTGGTGCAATAATCGCAAATGTTGGGGTCCAGACGTGAAAGGCGCGTGTTGCAGTATCGATAAGACTAGCGCGACAGACCCCTGCACAAAATTTCGGAGACACTCGAACCTGAACCATCAGCGTGTCTGCGAAACATCAACAACAACCATGGCGACTTACGATTACAGCGAGTCTGGCGCATCCGACCAGGAGATACTTGAGGCGCAATCTGGGGCCAGAAAGAGAAGGAGACTGTCACCGACCGAGCCCGAGAGTTCAGCTTCCGAGGCTGAAGCTGAGAAGCCGCTGCCAGTAGCAGCACCAACGATCTCGCGCATCAAAGCGAAACAGCAAGACAAGTCGACGAATACCGCCAGTTCTGCACCCAAAGTCAACCCGAAGCTGGATTTTGCAACGCTCAATGTAGCACCATGGCTCTGCACTTCTTTGGCCAGCATGGGAATCAAGCGCCCAACGGGCATTCAGGCATCCTGTATCCCTGAGATCCTCAAGGGAAAGGACTGTATTGGTGGATCGAGAACCGGTACAGGTAAAACTGTAGCGTTTTCTGTGCCGATAATGCAGAAATGGGCGGAGGACCCAAGCGGCATCTTCGCCGTTATCGTCACGTGAGTACAAACCATTGCTGCCATGTGGGCAGTAGCTAATAGCCATGTAGGCCGACCCGCGAGCTCGCGATCCAGATTTACGAACAAGTGAAAGCGATCTCAGCGCCTCAATCTATGAAACCAATCCTTGTTACCGGAGGTTCAGACCAGCGTTCCCAGGCCATCGCTCTCGCAACGCGTCCCCACGTTGTAATAGCGACACCAGGCCGTCTGGCAGAGCACATCCGCACTTCAGGCGAAGACACCATCTGCGGCCTCCGCCGCGTGCGCTTCGTCGTCTTCGACGAAGCCGATCGTCTTCTCGCCCCAGGAAAAGGCTCCATGCTGCCCGATCTCGAGACGTGCCTCTCCGCTCTACCCCCCAAGGAAACGCGACAGACTCTCTTATTCACGGCGACCGTAACCCCAGAGGTTCTAGCGCTGAAATCGCAACCGCGCGCACCGGGTCGTCTCCCCATCTTCGTGTCCGAAGTCGATACAGAGGATCTAGCAATTCCGCCCAAGCTGCAGCAGAAGTACCTCCAAACACCTGTCACGCACAAAGAATGCTACCTGCACGTCCTATTGAACACGCCCGAGAACCTCAAAAAGAGCGTCATAATCTTCTGCAACCGTACCAAAACCGCCACGCTACTAGAATACATGCTGCGTTTCCTCGCTCACCGCGTAACAGCCCTGCACTCAGGCCTCAAGCAAAACGACCGCGTGAGCAACCTCGCTCGCTTCCGCGCACAAGCCGCTAGAATCCTGGTCGCCACCGACGTCGCAGCCCGCGGTCTGGATATCCCAGAGGTAGCTCTCGTTATCAATTTCGACGTGCCCCGTGACCCAGACGATTACATCCATCGTGTTGGTCGTACGGCGCGTGCGGGCCGGGTGGGAACGAGCATCACGTTGATTGGACAGAGGGATGTGGAGTTGATTCTGGCGATTGAAGCAAGGGTGGGCAAGAAGATGGAGGAGTTTGAGGAGGAGGGTGTTAGTGTTGAAGGAAGGGTGGTGAGGGATGCGCTGAAGCCTGTGACGGAGAAGAAGAGGGAGGCGCTGTTGAGTATTGAGGAGGGGAGGGATGTGCTGGGGAAGCGCAAGGTGGGTATGCAGAGGAAGCGGGCGGAATAGATACATATATCCGGTCGAGTCCGTGGTAGATCGCATGCATAAGTCAAGCGGTATCATCTAGGGTAATTTCATACTCATGATCTTCAAATAATACACATTGTATGCTCTTCGCTAGAACGCTATAGATCGATACATGAAACAAGATACATTACTGATAACGCTTCGCTACTCACGGCGACCCCTTCCTTGGCCTAAATACTGTGTTGAAGTTCCTTTGCGTAACGAACCAAGCGTTATGAGTCTTCCACTCAGCATCAGGGTGCTCGAGCTCGATCTACGATCAATGTTAGTACCGTCCGGTCTTCAAAGTCATCATTAGTGAGACTTACCTCGAACCTCCTCAGAAAACTCGGCACCAGCTTGTAGATCTCAAGAAGACTGATGTTCTTTCCAATGCACGTCCTAGCCCCAGCACCAAACTGCAACATCGTGCCCTTCATTTCCTTCAGCTTGTCCGGACTGGCCTCAACCCAGCGTTCAGGGCGGAAAGTATCGACATCTACACCGAACACCTCCGGTCGGCGATGGACGATCCAAGCGTTGCATCCGACGATGGTGCCACCGGGAATGAATTCACCGCAGATCTGCATACCCTGCTTGGGTATGACGCGCTCAAGGATAAGTCCGGGTGCGGGGTGGAGACGGAAAGACTCTTGAATGACGGCGTCAAGGTAGGTGAGTTTTTGGGCTTCAGGCCAAGAGACGGTCTTGTCAGGGCGAGACTCGACAATGCCATCTGCTACAGCGGTATCCAATTCTTGCATAAGCTTCGCATAGACACGCGGGTGCTTGACGAGGAAGTAGAAGACGGCTGAAAGTGAGATGGCAGTTGTTTCTGAGCCAGCGAAGACCATAGATGTGCATGTTGACAGGATGCGGTTATCGTCCATAAATTCATGGTCGTGGCTTGCTTGCGCAAACTTGGAGAGGAGGTCGATGCCATGAGGGTTGGCTTTCTCGTCGTCGGAGAGACCGAAACGCTTGATCTTCTCGACTTGTGTGGCTCGCTCGTTGGATCGGTTCAGGGCGAAGAGGGTGACGGGGTGGACACGCTTGTCCAGGCCGATGCGCTGTGCGAGGAGGCTGATGGGGTTCTTCCAGAGAAGACGGTCGAGGATAGGAATTTGACCGACCTGAAAACGCGTAAGTATGACCCCATCTATGCCAGGTTCTGTTTGTGAGGACTTACCGGCGCGACATAGTCAAAGAACTTGCCCAAGAAGCCAATAATGTTGTCCACGTCCTTGTTTCCCTCGACAAAACCCAGTCGCTTACTCCACGTCAACTCGCCGATAACGTCAAAGGCGAAGAACTGCAGCCATTGACTGAAGTTGCAGCTCTGGCCAGTCTTCGCGTACATGTCCTCCGTCTTGTCCAGCCAGTATGTGAGTGTCGAGCTGACGAGAGGCTCGTAGTTGACGAGCGAACTCATGGAAAAAGCGTTGTTGACGCATCGGCGGTACTTCGCGTGGAAGTCTTCGTCGGTGGTGGAGAAGAGGGAGAGTAGCGGCGCGCCTTTGGAAACGGCGCCTTGGACGGGGTAGAAGTCGGACTGGAGAGATTAGCTATCGCTCAGTAGATCAACAGCCATATGCATACCTTGGTAACCCCCTTGTTCAGCCCATAAATAGCTTTGATAGCCTTTGGGTCCGCGAAAGACAAGACGTTCGGTCCCAGCCTGACGATGTCTCCATGCTTGCGATGCAACGCGAGGTTGGTCCATTGATGATTGTGCTTCGACACATCCCACAGCCGCCACCAGTTGGTGTATCCCGCAGCCCAATGTCCAGGGTATTTGTTCAGGCCATTCCAGTACTTGTTGTTGAGGAGATATGCGATGGTAGTCGTAGCCAGAACAAGCGGCCAGTACTGCACCAGCAGCGGGACGATCTCGTTGGCCAGCATGTTGCGCGACCAGTCTACCCGGTAATAAGATATTCGATCCGGGGTCCAGATAACGGTAGCACGTGAGTAGGTATATAGCAGAGTAAGCCGCGCGACACGTATAGAACGCTCGCCCGGGGCAAAAGCTCATATAAATGGCAGCCAGCCGTCGGGCCTGTGCCGCCCACTTCCCGCGTCGTCAGACAGTCGGGTCGGAGTCGGAATCGCCATCGCAACGCGTCTGGGTGCTTGCGCAGGCTCGTGTGTGTCGGCAGTTGATAGCTGAGGCGTGAGATGATGAAGGTGGGTCGGTGGCTGGATTCGCGCGGCTTGGAAGGATGACGCGGGGACAGTAGCTCCGGGGCGCTTTCGCGGGGTAAACCTCGTCCATCACACTGAACGCCCATCCGCAGCCCTATTCATTGGCCTCAAAACTCGGTTATCGCGATGCATCCAGTTTATCTACCTGACTCTGATTGGCTAAATCGCGTGCGTACAACACCACGCGGGATTGAAGTGATCGCAAACCCAAGTCTCTCACAACGCCTCTAGATTCGGCGCAGCATCGCCAATGTGCTCTGTGCTATTCTTGAACTGCCGATTATCGTCACTTCGACACCTAAACCTTGTGTGAGACGATAGCGAGGGTTTGTGGACCTTTTGCGTGTCGGCAGTTGTATTCGAATGTCATAATTGCAACTGCCGATATCTGAAGAGGGAATGGGCGCCGAAGCCTCCGAGGCTTCGTCACGTGGCTCCGGCTACATCTGGCCCTCGGCTGACATGTAACCTTTCCAGCAATTTGTGAGAATCATGAAACTTCATGTTCGTACGAGTCGTACAACGTAAGTTCGTTCAACGATCGGCAAAAATGTGCGCAATTTGTGTGCAATGCATGGTCTAAAAGCACGCTTATTAGAAGCACTGATTGCGAATCATGCGCATGGGGTTTATCGTAATGGTAGACGAGCCAAGTGGCATGTCTTGCATATAAACATGGGCAAGACCCAACTGCGTAACCCGGATATATGCAAGCCCAGTAGAGTCTCGACGTCAGCGGCCCTCCCGCACTTCTCGTTCGCCTTTCACACTCCGCATCACAAGATATACTCAATTGTTGAATTGTCTAGTGCAATTTGATAAGAGGAGTAAAGATTGAGTCGAGGTAGTGCGCGAAAGAGTAATGATCAAAGTTTTGTATTGCTATACAGGGTAGTACTTCTTCTTGCACAATGTTATGTCATGCCAAAGTCTCAACCGCCATCTACAGCTTAGCCGGTGTTGAACCGACTGAAGCCATCCTGTGCGCCAGCACAAGAAGGCTATACTAGAAGGATGAGAACCATCACCCCGGTCTGTAGGAGTGTGTGGCCGCTTAGCCAGTGCACTGGTAGTCATAGTTCATGCGCGAAGCATCCGTGTCCTTGGGAACATAAATAGTAACCCTCCTCCCATCCGCCTCAAGCGTACCCACATACGAGTCAAAGAAAGGACGCCAGTAGACCTGACCAGTTCCACCAGGGCAATCAATGTTGATGGTAACGGACGTGGTGCTAGTCATAGTTGTCGAGAAACCGGCGGAAACGCCAATCTCTGCGCTGACTGCGTCCCATGCACTTGCACCCAGACTGGCGCTTGCGGTGATGGAGAAGGTCTCTGACTTTGCCTCTGAGACGGTGTAGGCGCCGTTGTTGGGGACTTGGGCGACGAAGACGGCGGAGCCGGGCATGTAGACGTTGTAGGATGTGACGACGTCTGAGAACCTGTCCGCTTGCTGTGTCGTGAATGGTTAGCTTTCGGAGAAAGAGAGGGATGAAGCTGATGTACATACTCGGCTTTCCAATCCATTGACTTCTGATGCCGTGGCAATGTCCGCCACCAGGCTTTGAAGCTCAGCCTTGTTCTCCTCGACAGTGATCTCCTTGTAGCTGGTTGCTGTAGCCGTAGACATCAGGCGCCATTCAGTGGCAAGCCTGATGGCGACCTCAGTCCAATCCGCAGGCGGAGCTGGTGACTGGTAGCCGCCCGTATCCTCTGCGCAACCATTTTCGATGGCTCTGGCTCTTCCACCCCAGCTAGAGGCAGAATCGCAGACTTCATACTCCTCGTTGTTGCAGAATGAGATACGGCAGTTGCCTCGTGTCCAGATGCGGCATTCTCTTGGGATGACGCAGACACTCATGTCTGGGTTGGTGCCCTCGCCGAAGTAGCCGTTGCCACTCATAATGTTGCGGCCTGTTCATGGGAAGAAAACTTAGTCTTGCTCTTCAATGTGAAGATTTTGGAAGCAAGAAGGATCGGAGTACTCACAGTCAGCCCAGTTGGGCTGCAACCTCGCCTCACAGAAGATACCGCCAGTTTGCGTTCCGTCCCAGTCTTCTTGACGAGGAGCAATTGGGGAAGAAGTTCCCATTGCCGCAAGCATCGGCAAAAGGGTGAGAACGTAGTTCATCTTGTCGAAGATGGAGTGTTGAGCTGGAGAAAGAACCAGGTGATCTGAGAAGAAGGTGTTTGGCTGTGATGATGGGATTGAGAGCAAACACATACCTCTTTATACCTTTCTGCCCTTCCATCTGCCTCACGAGCATCCGTATATCCAGCGTCATGGCTGGCCTGACTATGCACGATGTCTAGTATCGAACATGGAATGTGGTTTGCCTTGAACGTGAACCACAGGCCTGAGCTCTAGCGATTGGTGCTCTCGTACACCATCGTTGATGTGCATACCTCTGGGGGCTAGAAGTAATGCGCTACCGAGAGTATACGATACTTGGCTGCTGTCATCCAGTCTCTTGGAATGATTCCTTAAACTTAGCAAAGGCTCTTGCCAGGCAGAAGCATCCGAGCTTCCCGATTTTGGTAGACTTGGGGGAGTGGGGAAGGGGCTGAAATGGCAATTTCCGATGTTTCCATCGCCCGATAGTATCGACAGTTCCAGTGACGTTTTGCGGCGTCTTGCTCTTTCCGGATTTCAGCGTCTCCCACGTGTACGTCTTGCAGACAAGTCAGAGGAGATGGACGTGATCATTCCAGTACTTCTCATCATCTCAAGTGTCCTCAAAGAGAATTCGACAAGACCGAGCCAACCTCCTCTTCCAGCTTCACCACACGCTCGT